GAGGAAAAAGTATGTGAACCTTTGGACTTAATAACTGGTTGACCCTCCTTTGGCAGCAATAACCTCAACCAAACGTTTCCTGTAGTTGCAGATCAGACCTGCACAATGATCTGGAGTAATTTTGGACCACTCCTCTTCACAAAAACTGTTTCAGTGTAGCAATATTCTTGGGATGTCTGGTGTGAATCGCTCTCTTAAGGTCATGCCACAGCATTTCAATCAGGTTGAGGTCAGGACTCTGACTGGGCCACTCCAGAAGGCGTATATTCTGTGCTGTTGCAGCCATTGTTTTGTTGAATTACTTGTATGCTTTGGGTCATTGTCCTGTTGCATCACCCATCTCTGCGGAGCTTCAGTTGGTGGACAGATGGTCGTACGTTTTCCTGCAAAATGTCTTGATAAACTCTGGATTTATTTTCCCATCAATGACAACAATCCGTCCAGGCCCTGAGGCAGCAAAGCAGCCCCAAACCATGATGCTCCCTCCGCCATGTTTTACAGTGGGAATGAGGTTTTTATGTTGGTGTGCTGTGCCTTTTTTTCTCCACACATAGTGTTGGGAGATACTTTTGTAACCCTTTCCAGCTTCATGCAAGTCAACAATTCTTGATCATAGGTCTTCTGAGAGCTCTTTTCTGTGAGGCATGGTTCACATCAGACAGTGCTTCTTGAAACCAGTAAACCCAAAACAGGTGTGTGGTTTTTTTTTAAGGGCAGGACAGCTGTCAGCAACACATCCAATATCATCACACTGATTGGAGTCAAGGTTGGCTCACTCCTGGCTCCAATTAGCTCTAGGAAAAGTCATTAATCTAGGGCCTCACATACTTTTTCCTCCCTGCACTGTGAATGTTTACATGTTATGTGCAATTAAACCATGGCAACATCTAACGTTTGTGTAGTATTATGTTCAGCAGACTGTGTTCATCTATTGTTGTGACTTAGATGACGTTCAGAGCACATTTTATGCCCAATTCATGCAAAACTCCCCGTAATCCCAAGGGGTTCACATACTTTTTCTTGCAACTGTATATGTCAATATATTTGGGAAGAATATGTTTAAAATATATTTAAAATATATTGTTCTTCCTTGTGGGTAAGAACACCAGCAAAGAAAATGTAAGAGTTTAAAGAAAAGTCCAGTGATGCAGGAACAGAAAAACAAATAGCGCTTCCCCTCTTAGTACTCACAAAAATAATCCTTATGCAGGTCACAAATGAATGTTCACCTAAGGGCTCGTTCACACTTGACTTTTTTTCCAACTCTTGCCAAACGCCCCAATAGCTCCGCAAACGCTCCAAAAATGCTGCATGCGCGGTTTAGCAGGAAATGCTAGGCGTTTGCCAAGCGTTAAAACTGTAATGCAGGCACTAACGTGAACAGTCATATAGGATATTATGAAAACTATTTTTGTTTGTGGGGCATTGTAACACGCGTTTTACCACACTCACAATGCAATGGTGTGCATGAGCCCTTAAATTCTCTCTGAGCTGCTTGTCGATTACCAAAGCCTTATTGAACTTATTTTACCTGTAATCCCGATGACACATTTTTGGTTTGCGAGTTGTACTATTGTCTGTTACTAACATTGAACTGAGGCAGGAGATAAGACAGTTTATCAGGCGGACACTGAGGGGACATCCTGCATATAGTGGGTGCTTCTTCTAGGGCAAGAAAATCCTGGACAAATAACAATCCCTAAAAGATAAAACTGCACTGCTATAACAATTAAAATGTGAAGACTCATATTATGCCCAATGGTGACTGATTCTATTTAAGATTTGTCCCAGGACTACCTTTGTTCTCTTATATGTTGGTGTCAGGGCCTGTGCTAGACTATTTTGTGCCCTAGGAAAGACCAGCTAGTTGCAACCCCCCCCCCCCACCAAGAAACAAAAATACACAAAAGGTTAAAACCATCAATATCGGATATTTTTTTCAAAGGCAATGCTTCAAAAGCCCCTACAGTTCATCAGTTTAGTGTTATGCAGGGGTTCTGATGCTAGAATTATTGCTCTCACTCAGGCGTGCGTGGTGATACATGACATCTGTAAGGAAATGGCAGGCGCCAAAGTGCATGCATTTTTGTATGTACAGTATGTGGGGGATCTAATTTTTTTTTTTTATGTGTCTCTTTAAATGTTTAAACCTTTTTTTATATTTTATATCTTTTTTTTTACATAACTTTTATTGCTGTCAAATAGGGGACTGATAGCCCTCTATGTGATAGCATATATGTGACAGATACTCTTTATTAGACATTCAGGATCTATTAGATATGAAATGTCTCCTCTGTACTCTGCTACAGCTGATGGAACAGTGATGATGATCCCAGATGATCACAGCCAGCGATGTGCCCCCCATTGCCCCCCATGGCACAGGGCTTTCCAGCTCTGACAGTGATGAAGGGGGTGACAGGTTGGCACAGGATGACAGAGAACTGTCTACTCACCGCTCACTGATCTCCCGCTTTCCCCCCAATGGATGATGAGGTGTTGGGGATTCCCTGGGTCGATCCCAGCCGGCTCCATCCACAATGCGGCCTGGCGCCAAGCCTGCTCCTCCAATGGCTGCACACAGCCCGGCACTGGCTTCACAGTGCCTAGGGAGGGAGGTGGGCAGAGAGATGACACCGGCACTGCTGAGATCCCAGGGATGGAGAAGGAGGGGAAAAGAATATGGCGGCTAAAGGCCGAATGAATGGCTGCAAATCTCCCCCTTCTCTTCAGTGTGAGTCGATGTGTGATCACGCCTGCAGAACAGGAAGGAGACAGGCAGGCTATCCTATGACTTCCCCACTCTGCACTACACTCCGCAACCACAGCCAGGTGGGCACAGGAGCCACACTCCTCATTGGGGACCACAGACACTGCTCAGAAGATATCCGGAAACCAGTTGCTCGTGGCTGTGCCCTAGGCGGCTGCCTACTTTGCCTAGTAGTAGCGCCGGCCCTAGTTGGTGTATATTGTTATGAAAACAGCTTTTTTTGTAAACTGAGTAGAAATGTAATTTAAGTTTAAGCGTGCAGCTAAAAAAATGTGTTTTACATATTTTTGTGTTGCTTGGACCTGCAAACCACAGAGGTATTTCCAGCCCGAAGCTCTAAATGTTACATTAGGACTGACAGCTCTGGTGTTAACCCTGAAAGACATAACATTAAGTAAACATTATGACAGTCTATTCCCCTACTTTACATTTATCTAACCGTGCTGGAACAAAACCACTTAAAGCCTCTCTGGAGGGTCATTCAACATATACAGCTCGGGAAACATCAAGGTGAAGGATGAGAGGGCGAGTTGTCTTTGTAAGCTCTTGTGTGTCCTGGTGGAATTTGCGATTACCATTTTTATCATTCTTTATGAAATTACTGATGATTTTGCCAAATTGGACATTCTCATTTCTACTGTCTAATTGACATTGTTTCAAATGTTTTACATTATAACAGTTACAATTATTCTGGATGTGATGTGTGTTTTGTACAATATTGTGAGAATTACCGCCAATGCTTCCATGGAATTTAACCCCTTCTATTACTGGTTCTACTGTGACTTTTACTAGGGGTACCGCAGTTATCACTTTTATTACTTCTGCCCTCATGTCACAGCTACTAAAACCAGTGATTCTCTTATTACCAATAGTGCTTTCCACTGTTGCACTTTAAGACCTGTTCACACCAGGAGTAATAGAATTTGTTGGCCAGCATTGCCCAGCACAGCCCACAGCCCCAACGCAAGGACAAGGCATTTTGCCTTATGTCCTACAAAGCCATCCACAACACTACCCCTAGCTACATCGCCAACCTCAGCTGCAGACACCGCCCAAATCGTCCGCTCCACTCCTCCCAAGATATCTTGCTCTCTAGCTCCCTCATCACCTCCTCCCAGGCTCGCCTCCAGGACTTCTCCAGAGCCTCTCCCATCCTCTGGAACTCCTTTCCACAGTATTATTATTATATTATATGGGATTTTTTATAGCGCCAATAGTTTGCTCAGCGCTTTTCAAAATAAAGGGAGACAATACAGCAACAATACAGTTTAATACAAGAAGGTTCGGAGCAGGGGCAGACTGACAACTCATGAGGCCCCCAAGTAATAGGGGATCATGGGGCCCCTGTGTCCTTGCCCAAACTCAAAAAAACCTATGAAAAAGCTACCAGGGGCATCACATGGGGCCCCCTACTGACCCCGGGCCCTCGGGCAGTGCCCGAGTTTCCAAATGGTCAGTCCGCCCCTGGTTCGGAGGGCCCAGCTCCTTAGAGCTTACAATATATATATATATATATATATATATATATATATATATATATACTGTATATATATGAAACAAGATGAAACAAGGCATGAGAACACATATATGTCCAATTTGAGAAGTTAAAACATCAATTTTGAATTATCTTTGTCTCCCCAGACTGAAAATTGCTGTCGACTCCAGCTATTACTGGAGTGACATATGATGGTCTACTTGCAGGGGCAGACTGACAACTCATGGGGCCCCCAGGAAATAGGGGATCATGTGGCCCCTGTGTCCTTGCCCACACTCAAAGCTCACCCAAAAAAGCCTATAAAAAGTACCAGGGGCATTTCATGGGGCCCCCTACTGACCCCGGGCCCTCGGGCAGTGCCCGAGTGCTCAAATGGTCAGTCTGCCCCTGTCTACTTGCCAACTAACCAGGCAATCATCCTGACCACCTTGATATCAATCCAGATTTCCACTCTAAAGCCCCCATACATTATGCAATTTTCTTTCCTTCAACCACAAGTGGAAGGAAAAAAATCACTTGATTCCCCCATCAACACAGTCAGTATTAATAGGGGAATCCCTCCTGCAGCATTATTGTATTCTGATGGCAGGGAGCCTTCCCTGATCGCATGACAAATATCCAACAGGCTGGTTGTACTGAAGGTAATTGGTTGATCGACTTCAGTACAACGAGCCTGCCCTATGGCCAGTTTGACTTTTTTGCCCCATGGCAAAATGTTATATTTAAAGTGTTACTAAACCCAGGACCCTGCATCCACTATATCTGGTCTCCCAGGACCCTGCATTCACTATATCTGGTCTCCCCGGACCCTGCATTCACTATATCTGGTCTCCCCGGACCCTGCATTCACTATATCTGGTCTCCCAGGACCCTGCATTCACTATATCTGGTCTCCCCGGACCCTGCATTCACTATATCTGGTCTCCCAGGACCCTGCATCCACTATATCTGGTCTCCCAGGACCCTGCATTCACTATATCTGGTCTCCTAGGACCCTGCATTCACTATATCTGGTCTCCCCGGACCCTGCATTCACTATATCTGGCCCCCCCTGGACCCTGCATTCACTATATCTGGTCTCCCAGGACCCTGCATTCACTATATCTGGTCTCCCCGGACCCTGCATTCACTATATCTGGTCTCCCAGGACCCTGCATTCACTCTATCTGGTCTCCCCAGACCCTGCATTTACTATATCTGGTCTCCCACAGTACACACAACATGGAAATGCAATTATTTTAGTACATATAAACTGTTAAATTCCTATTCCCATTCCCATCAGCACTTAGAGCAGTCTTGTGACTTCTATCAGTGTCCAGCAGAGCACTGGTTAAAGCTTGTCGGAGGAGTTTTCATTCTTGACTAGGAGGCTGCATAACCCGGTCTCCCACAGTACACAGAACATGGAAGTGCAAATATTTTATAAATATGTCCGGTCAGCCCCCACCCTGTCTGCCTTTAGGTGATCTTTGAAAACTCACTTCTTCAGGGAAGCCTACCCCAACTCCACCTAAGAACTGTACTTGAATCACCTCCGCCAGATCATCCCCCGTAGCTATCACTTTTTGTATCACCTCCCCCTTCCTTTAGATTGTAAGCTCCACGAGCAGGACCCTCACATTCCTTCTGTACTGAAATGTATTGTAGTTGTACTGTCTCCCGTTATATTGTAAAGCACTGCGCAAACTGTTGGCACTATATAAATCCTGTATAATAATAATAATAATGTCCTTTGGTGCTTTGTCAGTGTGTGCTAAAAACAGTAGGACATGGAACATTTTTTGCACAGCGGCACGTTTGCTACAGTTCAAAAATGTTTCTTGATTGTCCAAAAGTAGCTGTGAATATGAAGCAGACACCATGCTGTCTCCAACAGCTTACTCTAGCATTAGTTTTGGTTCTTAAGACAGAAGGAACAGCAGAATGCATTCTATGTATTACGGTAAAAAAAAACCTTCTGCATGCAGCCCCCTCCTCCCAGCCCCCCTAATACTCACCTGAGCCTGATCTCGATCCAGCGATGTGAATGAGAGCAGCTTCTTTCTTGGCTCTCACCTTCCCCACTGGCTCAAAGACAGCAGCAAGAGCCATTGGCTTCTGTTGTGTCAATCACAACCAGTGAGGAGGGAGTGGGGGGCAGGGTCAAGCCATGCTCTGTGTGTCTGTGAATCGGCTCAGGAGCGAGCATGCTATGGTGGGTTGCTATGGTGGCGCTTGGCAGGGGGAAGAGCCAGGAGCGTCGGCCGCTCTGTGCAAAACCACTGCACAGAGCAGGTAAGTATAACAAATATAAAAATGTATCCTTTACAATTACTTTAAAATAAGCCCATAGGCAAACCTCGATGTCCAAAAAAGCACCCCAGTTGTAGAATTGCCTCTATTACAGAATATTTCCACGTTTTACTGGTTCCAACTTGACTTAAAGCGGAACAACACTGTGACTAAACACCACAAACCAAAAGGGTTATTTAATTCATCTTTAATAGTCAAATATTTTAATATTTAATAACTGCTGAGAAATCGCTTAGAAAAACACCCCCAGCATTTCTAGCCATAGCTACCTTTAGAAAGGGCAGATGATTCATGCAGCATTTACTTCCTAGAATCCATCTGCCCTTAGCTCAGACATGCAGACAGGAGGGTTTGTTTAGTCTGAGAGAGCCTCTCCAACCCTCCTGAAGACTCCTGGGATGTATGATATAATTTACCTAGGAAGTAACTAAAGAAATGCAAAAAAAAGTTTAAAACAAGTATATATAATATACCTTCCCATTTATTTACTAATGCTTCAAAATAGTCAATGCTGATTGAGAGAGTGAATTTATTTTCTAACATTCTGAAAAATCGTTCGTCAAAGAATAATTGTTTTCCTCAGACAGCTAATTTCATTTGAAAGCCCTTAAAATGTTGTCCAGACCTGCTATTTCAATGGAATCCCAAACATAATAAACAGGTTTCAATACAATACGTACTATTTATCCTGAAAACAAAATCACATTCGCTGAATCGCTGTTCATTTTCATTTGTTCCATCCTGCTTCTTTTCTCGTTAGTACCACTGAAAACTAACTTTGATTTGACCCCACTAACCATTAGGAAATCAAATGTTCCACAAATGAGAGTTTTCAAATTAAATTCTACTGGTGTATGGCCAGCTTTAGGGTCCTTTCACACGGGTTTTCATCAGTTCAGTCGCGTTTTTTTTTTTTTTTTCAAAATCGGCGCTAAACAGATCAAGACTTCACTTTTTACTTCCATTTTCATATCCGTTTACATTCGTTTTACATCTGTTTTTTTTTTTTCATTTATTTACATCCATTGACATCTGTTTTGTATCCGTTTATATCAGTTTTTTATCTGTTTACATACATTTTTCATCTGTTTACATCCGTTTTTGATCTGTTTACATCAATTTTTCATCCTTTTTTTTACAGAAGAAAAATAGGGTTGTTAACGGATGTGGACATTAATGGATGTAAACGGATGATCATCTGTTTACATCCGCTAGTCCATAGAAATACATGGGTGTCCATTTTTCATCCGTAAATGGACACATGAAAAACGGGCATACGAAACGCCTGTGTGAAGGGATTTTAGAAATGATGGGCAATGGGGTTTATTTAATAAACCTGTAAACTACAAAATCTGGTGCAGCTGTACATGGTAGCCAATCAGCTTCTAATTACAGATTGTTTAGTTTGGCTAAAAACCTGGAAGCTGATTGGTTTCTATGCTGAGCTGCACTAGATTTTGCACTCTCCAGTTTTAGTGAATCAACCCCACGGTGTTATTGAATATCTTCACTTGACATTTAGCTTGCTAAAGAACTGCACACCATAAGCAACTGCCATTTTTTAAATTCTTGTTTCCACCTGTTTTCCATCCTATTTTTCGTCCACATATTGCTGACCTTCTGCATTCTCTTTGCAGCCACTTCTTGTCTATATGCACCAGCAGCAGTCATTGGCCAGGGTGGGCATCCCGATGGTGACAATGGTGGAAGTGTGTGCACAATGTATTTCCACTAGAAGCTCATGTGATAAGTGATAAACCACAGGAGACCAATTGGGAGAAAGGGACAGAACATTGTCATCCCAAAGCAGAAAGTGCCTGACCAAGGACCTTGGTAGGACCCCCGGGTATTATTTGAATGAAGACTACAACTTTAAAATGATTGAACATTACGTTTGACATTATATCACCATGTTAACCCCTTCATGACCAAGGTGAGAACAAATCCAAGCACAATTTTGCAACTTTGGCATAATACACTGCTCAAAACAATTAAAGGAACACTTTTTAATCATAGCATAGCATCAAGTCAATTAAATGCCTGGGGTATTGAGTGAAGTGAAGTAGCAGAGGGGGTTGTTAATCAGTTTCAGCTGCTTTGGTGTTGATCACATTAACAACAGGCGCACTAGATGGGCAACAATGAGATGACCCCCAAAACAGGAAGGGTTTTATAGGTGGAGGCCACTGACATTTTTTTCCCTACTCATCTTTTCTGACTGTTTTTCGCTAATTTTGCATTTGGCTAGGGTCAGTGTTACTACTGGTAGCATGAGGCGATACCTGGACCCTACAGAGGTTGCACAGGCAGTCCAACTCCTCCAGGATGGCACATCAATACGTGCCATTGCCCAAAGGTTTGCTGTGTCTCCCAGTACAGTCTCCAGAGCATGGAGGAGATTCCAGGAGATAGGCAGTTACTCTAGAAAAGCTGGACAGGGTCGTAGAAGGTCCTTAACCCATCAGCAGGACTAGTATCGGCTGCTTTGTGCAAGGAGGAACAGGATGAGCATCGCCAGAGCCCTACGAAATGACCTTCAGCAGCCCATTAGTGTGAATGTCTCTGACCAAACAATCAGAAACAGACTTCATGAGGGTGGCCTGAGGGCCCGATGTCCTCTAGTGGGCCCTGTGCTCACTGCCCGGCACCATAGAGCTCAGTTGGCATTTACCATTGAACACCAGAATTGGCAGGTCTGCCCCTGGCACCCTGTGCTCTTCACAGATGAGAGAAGGTTCACCCTGAGCACATGTGACAGATGTGAAAGGGTCTGGAGAAGCCATGGAGAAGGTTATGCTGCCTGTTCAGCATGACCATTTTGGTGGTGGGTCAGTGATAGTCTGGGGAGGCATATCCATGGAGGGATGCACAAATCTCTACAGGCTAGACCAATAGATACCCTGACTGCCATTAGGTATCGACATTAAATCCTTGGGCCCATTGTCAGACCCTACGCTGGTGCAGTGGGTCCTGAGGTCCTCGTGATATACGACAATGCCCAGCCTCATGTGGCGAGAGTATGCAGGCAGTCCTGGAGGATAAAGGAATTGATACCATTGAATGGCCCCCACACTCACCTGACCTAAATCCAATAGAACACCTCTGGGATATCATGTTTCGGTCCATCCGACGCTGCCAGATTGCACCTCAGACTGTCCAGGAGCTCATTGATGCCCTGGTCCAGATCTGGGAGGAAATACCCCAGAACCAGGGGCAGACTGACCATTTGGAAACTTGGGCACTGCCCAAAGGCCCGGGGTCAGTAGGGGGCCCCAAGAGATGCCTTTTTTGAGTTTGGGCTCCATGATCCCCTATTGCCCGGGGGCACCATGAGTTTCCAGTCCGCACCTGCCCAAGACACTAAATGATTAGCACTTCCGCCTGGCAGTAGTAGGGTCATTGGCTCGAATCCCAACCACGGCACCACCTGCCTGGAGTTTGCATGTTCTCCCTGTGTGTGGGTTTCCTCCAGGTACTCCGGTTTCCTCCCACACTCCAAAGACATGCTGGTAGGTTAAATGGATGCTTTCTAAATTGGCCTTAGTATATGTATGAATGTAGGTTAGGGACCTTAGATTGTACGCCCCTTGAGGGTTAGGGACTGATGTGAATGTACAATATATATGTAAAGTGCTGCGTAAATTGACGGAGCTATATAAGTACCTGAAATATTAAATAATAATAAGGACACCATCCATTGTCTCATTAGGAGCATGCCCCGACATTGTCAGGCATGCATACAAGCACATGGGGGCCATACAAACTACTGAGGACCATTTTGAGTTGCTGCAATGAAATTTCAGTAAAATGGACTAACCTGATGCATCATTTTTTCACTTTGATTTTTGGGGTGTCTTTGAATTCAGTCCTCTGTAGGTTGATAATTTTCCTTTCCATCAAACAATGGGGCATCCTTACATTCCTAACACATTACCCTGTCCATATCAGTATACATATCCAGCAGGAGATTTCTCCCCTTTGAGATCAGATGTGTTTTCAAAATGTTCCTTTCATTTTTTTGAGCAGTGTATTTGCATAACTGTACATATTATCTCAACTCCTTAGTGAATCCAGGTGGATTATACCTTGTTTTTTCAGGGCAGATTGGGTTTTCATTTGCTGGGAATCGCCCTATT